AACATGAAACTCAATACAGCAAATTGAGATGGCCAATAAGCTTATGAAAAAATGCTCAAATTCACTAGAAATCAGAAAAATGTAAAATAATGCAAGAATGAGCTATTATTTATACTCATCAAAGCAAAAATTTTAAAACCTAGAACCTAAACATGTAGGAAAAATACTGTTGGAAATGTGAAAAATTAGTCTTTTTTTTTTAAAAAGAGAGAGAGAGAGAGAGAGAATATTTTTTTAATATTTATTTTTTAGTTTTCGGCAGACACAACATCTTTGTTTGTATGTGGTGCTGAGGATCGAACCCGGGCCGCACGCATACCAGGTTAGCACACTACCACTTGAGCCACATCCCCAGCCCCCCAAAAATTATAGTCTTTAAGAAGGAATTGGAATGGTTGGGGATGTAGCTCAGTGGTAAAATGTTTGCCTAGAATGTGAGGGGCCCTGGGTTTAATCCATAGTACCACAAAAATAAAACAAAATAAAGAGTAACTGGTGAGAACTATTTCAGAATACTTGGAGGGATTTCCACAAGGTGGTACTGAGTGAAGAAAGCAAGATGCAGAAAAGTATGCATTATCTCTACCGTAAAATAAACAAAATTTAAAAGCCTGGATGGATATATGTATCTCTGTATATGTATATATTATACACATGTTATTTGTAAAATTACATAAGTATGAAGAAAGAAATTGAAAGGCACAAACTAGGCTACTAATATGACAATCCAGCCAGAAAGGCAGGAAATGGAGAAACTATACTAATGGAACAAGAGTAAACGTGGGTAATATACACCTTGAAAATGTTCTAGCACTGTTCTATCAGTTTATAGTATATATCTACTATATCACTTCTGTTTCTCTCTCCTTTTAGATTTCAGTTTCCTGTTTCGAAATATAAGTCAATATAATGTTGGCTTACAAGAGGAATTGCTACTATTTCTGTTCAAATATACTTTTTGAAAAAATTATACTCTCCCATACTATTATCATGTATCATTTATTTTTTTAAATTTTTTTCTTCATTTATTGCTTTCAATGTGTTGCTGAGTCCACCCCAGGGACAGATTTTTTTTTAATGTGGTGCTAGGAATTAGAACTCAGGGTTTTATGCATGCAAGGTAAAAACTCTACCAACAGAACTATATCCCCAGCCCATGTATCTATCACATCTTATCAAATTTTACTGATACTGTCTAGCACTGAAATTTCAAATTCATTTAAATACTTATTCTCTACAAGTAATGTGTCTGCTATCTTAGGCCATATATATATATCGTCCCTCCTTACTGCTATGCCTTTTCTTTATCACAGCTATGATACTCCATAATACTAGAAACTTTTAACATTTTATTTGTATACCTTCTTTCTGGAAATTGTCATTGCAAATATTATACTTTGTGGTTAGGTCACCTTTTGCCCTGCTGAACATCATCTGCTTAGGCCTTATTCAGTGCGTTAAAACTGCCTCAGATACTAAATCTGTCAGGGTATAAGAGAAACTGAGATACAGTAACTTTAATGATGGGATTGTAGAGATTTTTAGAGACCCCAAAGGGACATAAGAAGCATCCAAAGGCTTGCAACAGCAGGAAGCTGTGACCACTCCCAGCTCTAAAGGGGCAAGAGCAGAAATGATGTTGACAGAGACTGGAGTTTGCTAGAACCATGAAAGAAGAACATCCAAGTAGAAGCTGAAGACAGAAGGACACAGCCACTTTCTAAGTCTCAATAAACCTGGAGAGAGAGAAAGAAATCAGATAGCCCAGCTTCTCTTCTTGCCCTCTAACCTTATACTCGTGCTTCTCATTATCAGAACCCACTGGAAACCCTATTTAAAGAGACTGTGGGTGACAAATCTGCACCCAGAGCATACAGCCAGGCAGAGAAGGAGTAAAAATGGATAAGGAGAAGGTAAATGGAGAATAACTAGCATAATCCAGGCCTTCTGCCACTCAGCAGAATTTCTCCACCTTCATTTGGATGAAGAAGCTTATGTCTCCCAAATAAGAGAAACACAAAGTCCTATCAGCTACTCTATCATCAGGAGGTGATGACAATTCAGTCACATTCCCATCTGAATTTAAATTGTAACATTAGCCACCTCTAGTACTCTTCATACATGGTAACAGGGAAAAGGGAGAAAATAATGAACATAATAAATCACTGCTTCTGTAGCTGTTCAGGAGAGTGACAATAAAAGGAGGTAGATGATAATCAGTTTCATGGTTTCCTTAACCATGCTAATATCTTTGATGGCCACAGTTCTGATAGGGTGACCCAAACCTCCATTCCTGAAGATTAGGATCCCCTAGTGATCACACCTTATCAAGATGCCACAACTTCCCTTTATTAATACTCCTTTATTACTGGAATTGGGAGTATTAAGGGGCACCCCAGATAATTCTTTGGGTTCTATATGCAGCCCTCCTTGCCATCACTGTGTAAAAAGCAACTCAGTATCTCCTTGGGAATGAGAATCGGTTGCCACAGCCAGCACAGTAATGCTATGGCTGCCTATTGGCTCAATATCATGAGAAACCTCAAATGACTGTTTATTAGCTTTATGGAACCATGACTTTATTCCCTAAAGGAGCTCTTCCTCCCTTGAGAACTAAGAACTCTGAACCTACAGAACACAAGGTCATAACAATGGTAACTAAACATTCCATAAGTGAGTTACTAGGTGTAACCATGAGCAAGAGCATTCCCAAATCCACCTTACTTTATAGACTATATATTGTAGCTTTGGAAGAAAAAGTATTTCATATCAGTTGTTGATTCAAAGTGTGGATGGCATCTTACAGACATTAAGTACTTCGACCTTTCCGAGAATTATCTCTCAACTAATACTGAAATGGAGATTTCTACTCATCATTCCACTTTTTACCAGGTCAGCTGCTTCTAAAAAGGAATGCACGTAGGAGACCAGAGAACATTATGGAAGTGAGCCAACTGCCACACTTTTCTTACCATAAAACATGTGGGTGAGGCAACTGTGTAATACCATGAAAATGAATAAGATATTATGCAAGTCAATGAAGCTGGCAGATTTGTAGACAAAGCAAATCCATACCAGAAAATAAAAGTATTTTCCCAGAGAAAAAGGTGATATCCCCTTTGTGATGCCGTCTAATGTAGTCAAACAGCTATCAGATGGCTGGGTGGTTCCCCTGGGAAACAGAATCATTCTGTGGGCTCTGAGTCAGCCCTTGCTGTGGCAGATTGGGTGCTCAGCACTGGTTATAGCACAACCTTAGTAAGATGTCCATGTTATTGAGCCCATGTGTAATCTCCATTCCTGTAGCTGAGGCCAGTTTGTATAGAGGCTCATTAAACCAGCAATAAGGACATCTAGGGAAGATGCTGACATCTTGTCACCAGACTACTGAGAGTCCTTTTTGTACAGGATGCCCTCTGGCCAGCATTTACCTCCCAGGTGAAGAGCTTCAAATCTAAATTACAAATATAATGACTCATGTTTCTTCTCCTACTTCCTCTTCTGTTTTGTCTTTAATTAAACAATTTATTAGCCCAGATTTTTAATTGCCTCCTACTTTCAGAAATATTTTTTTTCAATCTGGCAGCAAACCTTAAATCTGATTCATTTTGAAAAGAGGAATAATTCTCAAAGTGTTATAATCCTTTCAAATAGATTTTTTTTCACATTTATATTTTTATAAATTAGCATGCTAATTTATAACTGCCATCATTTTGACAAGGATAAATCTGGATGGTTTTAGATAAAATTTTAGATTGTAGTTTAAGGAGAAATGTGTGTCTATAAGCTGTAAGTATAGAGGACTTTTTAAATTATTGTATAAACTGGTCATGGTGTTGCAGGAGGCAGCTGAGGCAGGAGGATCACATATTCAAGGCCAACCTGGAAAACTGAATAAGACCCTGTCTCAAATTAAAAAATGAAAAAGACTGGAGGGGTGGGGTTGTAGCTCAGTGGCACAATGCTCACCTCACACATGTGAGGCACTGGGTTTGATTCTCAGCACCACATAAAAATAAAGGTATTTTGTACATTTACAACTAAATTTTTTTTTAAAAAAAAGACTGGAAATATAGCTCAGAATTATAGCACCCCTGGGCCCAATCCTAGTATTGCTAAATATATAAATTAAAGAATCTCTAAAATAGTAAGAGAGGGAACTTTGAAGGATTTGTTATTACAGATTATAATAACCATTATTAATAACTAGTAAGGGTTGCCAAACCTACCCTGTCTAGATCTATATTAGTAATTAAAGCTTGCAGTCCCCAATATCAAAATGACTTTGTATTCAATTCCTTCCAAAATATATGTCTTAATTTGCTTTAATAGTTTAATACTCTCCTCCATTCAAATTATTTATTAGTACTGCTGTTTCTTCCATCATTTTGTTATCATTAGAAGTAAACCTTGGGGTTGGGGATATAGCTCAGTTGGCAGAGTGCTTGCATAGCATGCACAAGGCCCTGGGTTCAATCCCCAGCACCATTAAAAAAAAAAAAAAAGTAAACCTCATGTTTTTCTACCTTTTTGGACTAACTTCATTTTCTTCCAGGTTGCATATATGGGTCTAAAACATTAGGGAAAAGATGAAAAGGGAGTATTCTAGATCTTCCAAGAAAAGAAGAGAGAAAAAAAGAAAAAGGACAATGAAGAAAAAAACAAGAATACATAAGGAGACATTGGTACTGTTTGCTTGAGAAAATAATCACAGAAATGTTCAGATGCTGGACTTCCTAAAATTAAGATGTAGTTAGAGCTTGAAGAAAATAACCCTTGAGCTCAAAAGGCAGTATGGGAGAACAACCAAAGCACAGACTCTGAAGCTAGACTGGCTGGATCTCAAATACTGACTTTGACATTTATTAGCTGTTTGGTACTAAGCAAATTATTCAATTAATCTGAACCCATGTTTCCTCATATGAAAATAATGATAATAACAGCATTTAATAATAATAACAGGACATTGAAAGGATTCACTGTTATATAAGCACTTAAACATGGTGCGTGGCATTCAGTAAGTGCTCCATAACCTCTAGCTATTACCACTTAGACAACTTCTACTCTCATTAAAAAAAAAAAGTGACATTGCTTGATTTGTTCTCTGTTTCACAGAAAACGTTCTGATGTTATAACAATAACTGACTGGCATGCTCCAATCATATGGCAAGAAACTTACAATAGACAGGTCCTGGAAAAATATTACAAAAGGCTGAACATTACCATAGGCTTGGCTACACTTGCTACTAGAAAGTAGGTGATACTAATATTTGTCCTTTTTATTTTGGAAAAATATGGATGAACATGCATGGTCTTTCTATATGCAAAGAACTACTCATGATTAACCCTGATCATTATTTCTGGCTGTCTGTCTAACTGTATAGTGGTTATTTTCTCAAGCCTAATTGAGTCCTTAATGCTACTTCTAAATCTTTTCATTAATATCCATTTAACTCTCTTTCTTCACAATAAACTTTATGGCTTTTCTCATGTTCCCATTCTTTTTAAAAAAAAAATTAATTTATTTATTTCTTCTAATTTGTTATATATGACAGCAGAATGCATTTAAATTCATAGTACACATATAGAACATAATTTTTCATGTCTCTTATTGTACATAAAGTAGAGCCACACCATTCGTGTCTTCATACATATACTTGAGGTCTTTTTCACTAACAAATATAGTTGAAGTTGTAGACCCAGCCTCTTTACCCTTACCTTTGTTACCATCCTTGATGCAAACGTTAGCATGCTAAGTGACATATATTCTCCTGATGAATTGTAGCAAAACAATCCCTTTTTTCATGTTTCATAGATTTACAAATCTATACCTGGAACAGTTCCTAGAATCTGCTAATAAGCACTTTATGGTTGGCTACAATGTTATCTTCTACATCTTCACTGATAACACCAAAAGAATACCTCTAGTGGAGTTAGGTACTTTCAGAACGTATAAAATATTGCTTCTAATTGAAGAAGGATCATTGGCAGACAGTGACTTCATATACATGAAGACTTTGAGTGTGTATCTCATAGACAGCATCCAGCGTGAAGTCAACTTTTTCTTCCTTATGACTATAAACCAGATCTTTAAGAGTGACTTTGGAGTAGAATCTCTGGGCAAATCAGTAGCTCAACTCCATGCATGGTGGTATTTTAAAAATACTAGAGAGTATCCTTATGAGAGAAGAACTAAATCAACAGCTTTCATTCCCTTCGGACAAGGAGATTTCTATTACCATCGTGCTATTTTTGGTGGAACACCACGTATGATTTTAAACTTCATTAGACAATATCTAAAAGGATTTGTGCAAGACACCACAAAAGAACTTAACTGCATGTATGAAAGCTACCTAAACAAATATTTTTTTGTCAATAAACCCACTAAACTGTTATCACCAGAATACAATTGGGATCCAAAATTTAAAACTCCTCCACAAATAAAACATGTTAAAATAGTATGGCAGTCAGAAATGACTTGATAGTTATATTAGGCTTCTGGATTAATAAAGGAATCACAACAATTCCTCAATTATATAACTTGTGAAATTTTTGAGTTTTTCAGAAACTCAGAAAAATGTACAACCTTCCAAAATAAATTACTTTTCTCCTTCCAATTTTGCATTGTTTAATTCTACCTAGGTTGGATAAAGAATAAACAGAAGATATTTTCATGTGAAATTATTATTTATATAATGTTATTATATGTGTATTACAAATAATGTGGAAATACCTTTGGAGGTATACAGTGATTTTTATGAAGAAACATAGGCCCTAGTTCAGGAGGAAATTATACATATTTATATATATACAACATCAAAATAAATGTGTAAGGAAAAAATTATTATTCAAAAACTTGTACATCAGATATTTACGATATTTTTCAGCATTGTGATATACATTGCTTGTGATTAATAACCTCAATCAGTATTCAATCAGTCTAACATCTGACTGAATTTAGGCAAATTAAAGATATTTTTCTAGGATGGACTTGGTGGCAAACACCTGTAATCCTAGCTACTCCAGAGGCTAGGGTAGGAAGATTGCAAGTTTAAGGCCAGTCTGGACAACTTAACAAGATTCTGTCTCAAAATAAAAAAAATAAAATAAAAAGAATGGGGGCTGTAGCCCAGTGTTAGAGCACCCCTGGATCCAATCCCCTGTACCAGAAAAAGGAAAGAGCAAACAAAAACCGATATCCTTCCAAATAAATATCTTACTTTTATTGTTATAAAGAGAGATCTTGAGTTCATATTTCTTAATGCTACAGGAGTGTTATTGTTTAAGTAGACATTTACTGAACTCTAAGGTAAAAGTACTCTTCTGAGTGCAGTTAGGGATAGATAGGAAAATGTTAAAAAATAATTTATCCTCTGGGTGATAAGACTATTAGTGTTTCTTTTGCAAGTTTAAAAGTGCTAAAAAAATCACAGGAAGCTATAGATAGAATGCAATAGTGACTCAGGAAAGGAAGCAGTCACTCTGTAAGAACATATAGTCATCACAATTATGTCATAAATAATTTCATAAGTTTAGTGAGACATAGGAGAGTTAGAAAAACTAGAGGCTCTAAAACCAAAGTAAGTCATTATTTTTGTCCCTTTTATGGGAGAAAAACTGAAACTTAGTAAGTTAAGCTAAGTATTATTAGCTATAAAACATTAAAATTATAAAGAATATTGATGACGACTGTGGCAGGCAGATCTAAGAGGACCCCAAATGAGCCAGTTCTAGCATTCATCTTCTTGCATAATATGGCTGCCTTGCTCCTTACCTTTGAGTATGAGCTGAACATAGTGAGTTGCTTCCACCCAATAAATTAAGAGATGTCACTTTCATGACTGGGTTGGGGAAGATTGTGACTTCCATCTTACTAGCAGACTTTCTTGCTGCCCTGGAGGTAGTTAGTTTCCATGTTGAAAAGGCCCTCATAGCAAGGAACTGAGGGTAACCTCCAGCTGACAGCCAGAAAGAAACTGAGGTCCTCAGTCCAACAACCCTCAAAAATTGACTACTACTAACAACCACATAACTGAGCTTGAAAGCAAATCTTTTCCCAGTCAAGTCTTCAGATGAGACCTCATTGTCATCTAACACTCTGATTTCTGCCTTGTGAGAGAAGATCCAGTTAAGCCTTGTCCAGGTTCCTAACCTACACAGTGACCCATGCCCAATGTTTCTTAACCCTCCTCAGCCCAGGAGGATGCTTCACTTTCTGAGGGGCAACAGTAGAAACTGAGGAAAAAGCCATCAGCACCAGGTGACCTGGAGAACAGGCCATGGGAAACACTCTCTGCTGTATAGGCCCAGCATCCTCTTCCTACCACCTAGCAGTACTGAAGAGCCCAGGAAAGCCCCTTCCACCCCTCAAGCAACACCAGCAGAAAACAAGCAGTCCAGAGGGCAGGCTCAGAGAAGCACTCGCTGCCCCAAGGCCCAGAATGCTCCCACACCCCACCTAGCAGGAACAGGCCTGAAAAACTGTACTCCACTCATGAAAGTAGGACCAGCAGGATCAAGCAGGAGTCTCAGCAGTACCAGGTGAACAGAGCAAACCAGAATCTCTCTGTATTGGTTCTGAAACTATATTTCCATTGGAAACACACCCCAAAAAGTAAGCCAGGAACTAACTACTGTATTAGTCAGTGTTCTGCAATAAAACAGACAATACAAAGGAAAAAATATATATAAACACACATACACATATGTGTGTACACAGTTCTTCTTTATTCAATCTACTAATTAAAATGCTAATTTTCTCCAGAAACACCTTCACAGACATACCCCAAAATGGTGTTTTAGCAGCTATCTGGGCATCTTTTAACCCACTCAAGTTGACACACAGAATTAACCATCATGATTTCATTTATATGACATTTGGGAAAGGCAAAACTGTAGAGAATAGACAGATCAGTGATTGCCAGGGGTTTGAGGAAGGGAAGTTTAAATAAGTGAAGCACAAGGGATTTGGGGGGATAGTGAAATTATTCTGTGTGATGCTCTAATGATGGATCCATGTCATTGTGCACGTGTTCACAGCACTGAATGGACCTTTATGCACGTAATTTTCTTTGAAATCATGTAAGTGGTCAGAAGATCCCAGGATGATATATGAACACTGATAAAAGAATCTAACTATATTACAAATGTAGGAAATAACCTCACTGAACAGGTTGAATAGAAAACATGTTAACCTAACTTTGAAACTTTGGAAATAAGTGGAAACCATAAGTCTAAAGACAAAAGAACTACACATAAAAACTGGACTCTAGTTGGTAAAATTGTTTCTCATGGGGGTATGGATCAATAATTCTCAGGTCATACCACAAAGACATACCAAAATTGAACAGTTAAGCAAATGGATGGTAGATGGTGGGAGCAAGATGTTTCCCTGTTACAATGTAAAGTTACAGACAAGCAAGAGGAGGCCAGAATGATGTCCATGATTTCCATGAAAATTGAAGACATCATATGAACTCATGTTTAGCTTAATATAGATATGAATGAATTTTGTAGAAATACTCATAAATATGTGTTTGTACAGAAATTAGTAGAAACACACATATTTCCTTGTTATGTTAGCTGAGAGGGACTTAGAAACAATGACACTGCAGTAGCAACAAGTAGATCTCACACCTACATCTTGGTTTCTAATACTTTAATAAAAAGAACCAGGGGTTCCTTGGAGAAATGGCTGATTCCAGAGAATTCATGGGGACTATACAAGATGAGCCTGAAATATGTTCTAGTGCCAGAAACTAAGAAAGAACAAAAAGAACACAATGATGGGAGCTGGGATGTGGCTCAAAAGTAGAACACTTACCTAGCATATGGGAGGCTCTGGGTTCAATCTCCAGGAAAGGAAAAAGGGAAAGAAGGAAGGAAAAAGAAAAGGGAAAGAGAAAGGAATCACAATGATGGAAACATGTTCAAGGGACACAGAAGTCAATTGAAAGAGCTTCCAGTGGGGCAATTTGAACAATAAAATAAATAATATAGTATTGGATTCTAACCCAAAGTCTTAAACAAATATACGTGAGTCCATACATATCCGAAAAAAGTGAATAATTACAAAAGAATTCTGAGTAATTTATTCAGATAATCTGTCTTCAAGGAGATGGAGAATAGCTCCCCCAAATCAAGTCCAAAATCAATTAATAAATTATGGGCTATACATAGTGACTTCCTTCCAAAGATAAAAACAATAGAGAAGTGGAGAAAAAGAAAAGTAATTTTGCAGTGGAGAAATTTGATAAAAATCTAACTTGGCCAAATTATCAAGGTGTCAATAGTGATAAACCATGTTGATAGCAGATATCCTTCATATGCTGTAATGATAATGGTACTGTTAGAGTTTAATTATGTCTCAAAAATATGTATTCAAGTCCTAAGCCTCAGTCTTATAATTGTGTCCTTATTTGGAAATAGGGTCTTTGCAGGTATTGTTAGTTAAGACAAGGTCATTAGGGTGGGTCTTAATCCAATATGGCTTATATCCTCAAAAGATGAGGCCAATTTTGACACAGACACACAAAGAAGATGGCCATATGAATACAGAGGCAGAGATCAGAGTGATGTGTCTACAGGATTACTGACCATCACCAGAAGCTAGGGAGAGGTAATGACACAGATTCTTCCTCTCAGACTTCCAAAGGAACTGATCCTGCTTACACCTTGATTTTGGACTTCTAGCTCCAGAACTGTGAAGAACGATAAGTTCTTGTTGTTTCAAGTCACCCAGGTATTAGTACTTTGTTGTGTATCACAGGCAACTTACCTCTGTGGTCTTCCTCCCACAAAACCCACAATGTTGGTCTAATTGTGATGAGCACATCAGACAAGTCCAATTAAGGGACATCTGCAGACAAGTAAAATTGTGCAGTAATTGATATTCCTAAAAACTGTCAAGGAAAGTTTGAGAAATTGTCACAGCTAAGAGGAGCCTAAAGAAACTAAATGTAATGTGATATACCAGAACAGAAAAGACATTACATAAAAGCTAAGGAAATGTAATTAAGTAGAGGCATTAGCTAATAATGTGTCAATGTTGGTTCAATAATTGTGACAAACATACCATACATTCCCTGTACCATTTTTACAATTATTTTGTAAATCTACAACTATTTGAAAACAAAAGTTTAAGATTTTTTTTTTTTTAATTTAGTAGCTCATGGGCCCGGCCATGTGAAAAATGCACAGGCCCTAATTTGCCATTCTCTAGGTTAAGCAATAAGATACCATGGTTATCAATTGGGAACATAATAGAGTGAACAAGACAATGTAGAATTAATTCCCAGAACAGGATCCAAGAAGATGTAAGCTAAGGGAATGATTCTGTACATCCTTACATTTTTATCCTGTGGTCCTCCCCAAATCTCATTAAGTATCTAAAAGAACAGAGGAAACATTAGATAGGTAAGGTCACCAAAATTTGGAAAATTTGCACTAGGCAACATGATGTAAGGCTGAGGAAAATTACAAAGCTGGGGAAAGTGTTGACTTTAAATTTGCATAAGAGATCTATGAAGAATTCCCCAGACAGGAGGGCCCAGAAAAAAGGTGAGCCTGGCACTTGAGATGACTGTTCTCCTGGGTCATTTCCTACTCAAGAAAAGCCCATGAAGGGAATGAGTGGTGCTTTTGAAAATCTTGAGCAAGGTTCAGGGAACAAATAATGGAATCCTGGACTCTCTGATTATTGATATTGTATGTTAGGGTTTAGATTTAACTTTTTATTTTGTTTTCCTCCTATTTTTTATTATTTCTGTTTCTTTTTTCTTGTTTTCCTGTGGATAACTTGAACATATGTTTGAATTCCACTTTGCTTTACTGAGCATTTTTTAATATGTCTCTCACAGGTTGTTTTTTAAAAAGGCTATTCTTGGTACTACAGTGTACTAACCCTTTATATTAAGGAACTTATTTTTTTCTTTTTTCATTCTTTCTGTTTGTTTCTTTGTCTTTCAGTGCTGGTGGTTGAACCCAGGAACTTATGCATGCTAAGCATGTGCTCTACCATCAAGCTATACCCTAGGCCTGAATTTTTTTTTTTACTCTAGCTTACTGAAAATTTTTATCATGAATATTTGATAAAGTTCATCAATTTTTTTGTGTCCATAGAGATGATCAAGTAATTTTCTTCACTATTTGTTAGAGTTAATTATGCTGGTTGATATTCTAATCGAAATTAATCTTTCAATTCTGAAATAAATTCAAATTAGCCAAGTTCTATTGGAAAAACTATAATAAGAATTTTTAATGATACCATGTTCTGGGAGGATGCAGATAATATCTCTCTACTGCTAGTAAAACTGTACAGCCACTTTGAAAAATATTTTTGGCAGTTTCTTTTAAAAACTAAAATGTACCACAAGCACCTCTAGGTATTTATCCCCGAGAAATCTATGTCCACACCAAAACCATATGTCAATGTTCATGGCAGCTTTACTGGTAATAGCTGGAAACTGGAAACAACCAAAATGTACTTCAATGAGTGAATGGTTAAACTGTGGTATACCTACACCATGGAACACCACTCAGCAATAAAAAGGAACAAACTGCCAAGCACAGTGGTGCGTGCCTATAATCCCAGCAGCTCAGAAGGCTGAGGCAGGAGGGTCACAAGTTCAAGTCCAGCCTCAGCATTTTAGTGAGGCTCTAAGCTACTTAGTGTGACCCTGTCTTAAAAAAATAAAAAGGGCTGGGATGTCACTCTGGTAAAATACCCCTGTGTTAAATCTCTGGTACCAAAAAGAAAAGAAGGAACACATTACCGATGCAACAACTCAGATGGAACATAAAAACATTACACTGAGTGGGGAAAAAAAGATGATTTCAAAAGGTTACATGTGTATGATTTCATCCATATAACATTTTTAACATTATAACAAAATTATAGAGATGGAGAACAAATTAATTGTTGCCAGATTTTAGGATGGTGGAATGAGGGGAATGAATGACTGTGAAGATATTCTTGTGTTCAGAAACATGGGCATATCTTTGTGGTGATGGAATATTTTGTATCATGGTTGTGGTTTTGATTACAGGAGTTTGTTCACATGATAAAATGGCATGGTACTAAACACACACTATGTACCATTGCCACTCTCTTGGTTTTGATACTGTACTATGTTATACAAGTTACAACTTTGGGGAGGAACTGGGTGAAGGCTAGCTGTAACTCTCTGAACTATCTTTGTAAATTTTTGTAAATATATAATTATTTCAAAATAAAAAGTTAAAAAAAAAAACATGTAACCTCAGTAAGGTCTTGCATGCCTGGCATTTTAAAAATTGCAATCCAACCTATTTCCTTCCTATCCCTTTCTCTAATTATTTTCTTTTTTAAAATTTTTTTAGTTTTTTAGGTGGACACAATATTTTATTTTATGTGGTGCTGAGAATCGAACCCAGTGCCTCACGCATGCTAGGCGAGCACACTACCACTTGAGCCCCTTCTCTAATTATTTTCATCATAGCACTTATCACCATTTAAAGTACTAAACATTTATCATTTATTTATTTATTTTCCCTCACTAGAATGTAAGCTATAGGGGCAAGGAGGGCAGGACCAAGGTTGTGGGCTGTCTGGTGGGCATAAGTGCCCAGGGGTATCTTAACCAAACAGAAAGGCTTCTGGCTTCATTCTTCTTTTTCCAAGATTGTCCTGGTTCTTCTTGATCCTTTCATTTCTATATCCTAGAAGGTATTCATATTCAATCAAATTTATCAAACGAGCAAATGAATAAATGAATAAGTGAATGAATAAACGAACAAATGACAATTTTGGAAACAGTCCTGATTCTTAATTCATCTGCCTTCTTTCAATCCTCTAACTAGGACACAAGAAGTACATAAGAATTGACACTAGATGGCACAACATAACAAAGAAAGTAACCCTAATCAACACATGAATGAAATTGCTTCCGGAGAAGCCAGTTAACCATGCCTTTGTTGTAACAACTCAATTTTCACTGATTAATGCCCCACATGCCCAGCTGGATATTATTCTGCTCTTCTAAGAATTTCCATTCTCCCGTGTGCCAGTACAGGATACCAAGTTCTTCCTTCTCCCTCTTCCCCGTTTTCCCCATCCCTTGCAACTCTCCCAACCTATAGTCAACTGAACTTTAGTATACTAAAGCCCTCAAGTTCCAGAGCTGTAGGTGATCTATGTTGAGAAAGAATCTATCCCCTCTGGGTTACAATCTGTTAGAGTGGGTTACAGATTAGTGAATCAGTTCTTTTGTATTTTATTTCTAATCTCCTCTCCCCCTGGAAACTCAGATTGAATACATTGGGGAATGGATTTAAATGGCAGCTACCATGCAGTAAAATTACCACTCCCTCTGACCACTAAAAGTTCTTACTGGGTCATTGGTATCCAAAGTTTCTTAGTGCTTATGTCAATAAGCTCCTGCCACTAATCTTCCCACCCATATTACTTTAGCGTGACCAACTTGTCCCAGTTTGCTAGGGACTTTCCCAGTTTCAGTGCAGGAACTCTCATATCCCAAGAAACCCCTTACTCTGGAACAAACCAAAACAGCTGGTAGCTTTAAATTAGCTCCAGATCTGTCTGAACCTAACTCAGTCTCAAACCAGGATTTTGCCACCCAGATATAAAATTCTTTGATCATATATATTAATTCTTGTCCTCTTCTCCCACACCACATGTAGTCACTTACCAAGTCCTTTAATCTCACCTCCTATGTGTCACTTAAATTCATTTTCTCCTCTAGATTCTCACTGCCCTACTTAGTTCAGGCCTCATCATTTTACCTCAAGATTACTAAGGAATCTTAAACAATGATCCCACCCCCAGAATTGCTCATCTCTGATTCTCCCTTCTTTTTGTTACAGATTATCTTTCATACAAACTGGATTATACTATAACCCTACAAAAAATCATCAACTACATTCCTTGAGCCCCTCCCTAGAATATTGTTCATAATTTGGCATGATACATAAATCTCATTGCAGTATAGCCCTACCCAATCCTTCCAATTTTCTCTCTCACCTCTCCACTCCTTATATGGAGTGCTACTTCCCACCAAATGCTACTTCCTGCTCATACTGAACAAATTGCTGCTCCCAGAACTCACCATGCCTATAGACCTTTGCTTCTGTAGTTGTCATTTTCTAGAATGCCTTCTATCTGGTAACTTCTACTCATAGAAATACCTACTTGGGAAGGGAATTTTGCCTACAGTAGAGGATGCTTTGTATACAAAGGGAAAGGAAGAAAAAGAAAAGAAAAGGGAAAAAAAGAAAAGTCCTCTCAATTCCACCCTTAGCTGGAAGGATGAACATGTACCCTTCTTCCTTCTTACCATCATATAAGTCCCAAAAAGCTCCTACCTAACAAAATGTACTATGCTATGTACAACCACATATGAAGAGAAAGCAGACAGTTACATCTAGTGTGACCAACTTGTCCCAGTTTGCTAGGGACAAGTAATGTTATGAAATCCTTGTTTTCCAAGTTCAAAATCAATAGCATGCCAGTCCTGGGCCTCTTTAGACATTGTAGGTACAAATGCACCACATTCAGGTGAATATCTCTGACTTGTTTATACCCAGTAATTTCCATGGCTGCTACTTCTGGATAGTGCCTGGAACAGAAGGTGGCTCTGGAGTAGGACAGGGCAGTGGTAAGAGCCACACTCTCACTACAGTCTATCCAATTATGCCCAAATTGTCAGTGATTAAGAATGCTGCATGGCTCCTCTGCAAGCCTCTACAGGAAAATTAAAGAATAAATATCTATGGTTTTGAAAGAGAACCATGGCCTTCTTATGCTGGTAATTATTCTTCTTTAGAGAAGGAACTCATAGCTTACCACTATGCCCTGGCAGGAACTGAATGTTTAATGTGGAATTCAAAATCATTATATGACCTATACTGCCCATTATGAACAAGAGTTATCTGGGCAAGACATTAAAAACAGTGCCAAGGCTGGGCATTTGCAGTAGCAATCTATCATCAAATGGAAATTGTATATATAAATTCAGGGTCAAGCAAGTTCAGAAGACACAGTAGTACATGAACAAGTAGGTAGCTCAGGCCCCCACAACCTATTCCTGCTGCCTTGTGGTCCCTCCCACCCCACATTTATGGTTTCATATGACCTGCTGAAGAAGGAAGAATAAAAACCGTGGGCCTAATTTACAAAAGAGTGTCCACACTCTGCTGACACCAGCATACTCACTCAGGGATGCCACTGAAGGGGAACAGTGAAGGAAAATCCTCTCAGAGGGAAGAACTTCTGGCAGTTCAACTTGTAGTCCCCTTGGCCAGGAAAGAGAAGTGACCTATGATATAGGTGTATACTCATTCAAAGACAGTAATACTCTAGTAAATCAGGAACTTGAAAAAACAAGCCTAAAAGACTGAAAACAAGGAAGTCTAAAGCAGAGATACATACATGATCTTTCAGAAATGAGCACAAAATATGAACACTGGCCAATAAATAGCAACCACAGAGGAGGTCTCAATAATAGGGGTGAGCAAGACAGCTTGTCTTGTGGCTGTCCGTCATCATCCTTCCTTACACTATGTTTAATAGGCCTGTGTACAAAGTATCTATAGCAGAAGGGATGGAAACAGACTCAGAAACACAGACTTTTCTGCATTTGAGCTAACCTGGCTATTGGCACTGTTGAGTGCCCAAATTACCAAGAGCAGAATCTAAACTGCCAGTACCCAATACAGCACCATTTCTCAAGGGGATAAGTCAACCATATGTTGATAGATTGATTACAGTGTACTTTTCCATCATGGAAGGGAAAGCCATTTTTACTGAATAGATGCCTATTCTGTTTATGGATATGCCTTGCTGCTCATTGTGTTTCTGCCAATACCACCACATGATCCCTCACTAACTGTCATAATATTCTACTCAACACAGCTTCTGACCAAGGAATCATCTCACAAGAGAATTGTGACTATGTTTTATAAATTATAGATTTCACTATTCTTTTTTAAAAAATATTTTTTAGTTTAAGGTGGACACACAATATCTTTATTTCATTTTTATGTGGTGCTGAGGATCGAACCAGTGCCTCACGCATGCTAAGCGAGCACTCTACCACTGAGCCTCAACCCCAGCCCCAGAAATCACTATTCTTACATACACCCCATCACCCAGAGACAGCTGGCCTGATCCAATAATGGGGTGGCCTACTGAAGACTTGGAGCATTAGCCAAGGGACATTTTGTAAGTTTTTTTTTTTTTTTTTTTGAGATTCTATCTTAAAAGAACAATATATGTGGCCTAGGGTAATAAGAGGAAAAGAGCTTGCCTAGCAAGTGTAAGGCCCTAGGATTGATCCCCAGCACTGGAAAAAAAAAAAAAGACCAACATATGTGTTGAACTATCAAACAATATACGGTGCCATTTCTCCCATAGCCAGAATACATGGGTCCATGGTCTGGGAATGGAAGAGAAAGTAGCTTCTCTCACTGTTATACTTATTCACAGAATTTCTGTTTCTCATAACTTCACAACTTAAATTTGTTGGTTTAGAGGTCTTAATTTCCAAAGGAGGAATGATTTCTTTGAATTTCTAACAGCTCCTTGGCCATTTTGGACCCCTTATGCAACTGAACCAAAGGGGCAAAGAATGACTGATACTGACTGATCACTAAAGAAAAATTGGATTGCTGCTACACAGTGAGGCCAAGGGATGGCAATATTATGTGGAACATTAATGACAGTGAGTAAGAGATCATGTGGTATTACTGGCAGAAACACAATGAGCAAGCAGGGCAAATCCATACCCAGAATAAGCATCTATTCAGTACAAAGCATCTTGGGATGTTTTGGAGACCTCTTGATATTCTCATTGCTGTTATTAAAATATGATGGAAAACTATAATTAAACAGGAAAAGACAGGACCTCTGATGAGACAGAATAAAAGGACTAACACCTAAGCATAATTTTATTCATTGCTTAGTGTATATGTGTAAATGTGTATATTTATGTATTTTTGTTTATATTAACTTTACTTCTTTCCCACTGTAATTTTAAGAACTCAAGGCTGTGATTAACTTTATAATTTCATCTTTGGGACTTCAAGTGAATTGAGGAGTAATTAACATAACCTGGAGATTCATGTAATGACACTGGAATTTTCTTTTGTGGGGGGGGAGAGTGGGAGTGTATATTCTACCAAAGATAGTATCTTCTTGAGGAAATTTGTTATTACTACATGGGAAGTTCAAATATATGTAGAAGGTTGCATGAGGCTATTGAGTAGGCAAAGTAATTCACTGCCCCAGTTATTATGCACTGTCTCTTGGCTCAAACTCACACTCTCAATATTTTTCTTGTGCTACTCGGGCCAGGACTATGAGAACAGAATTTCTACCTTGCTATTTGGCTTCTGAAAAGTTTTTCAAGGCAGTAGGGGAGGATATGTTCCTTTCCTGACAAGTGGCTACCAATTATAATACCCAGCTTTTGTGTAGGGGGTGGGGTACCCCTAGGATTGGCATCATCATAGCTAAGCAAAGATACAGCCATATTTGGCAGTGGCCCCTCCTCAGAGGCTGAAGCTGATTCTTCAGGTTTCCTCTTTTTTGGCAAAATTACTTTTTAGCCTTTCCAGCTCTAGGAGTGGTAGCTTCCTCCTATAGATACTGTCTCTGTCTCTGTTGGTTTAGCATCATCATCATCTTTTTTTTTTTTTTTTTTTTTTTTTTTTGGGGGGGGGTCAGTTCCCCAAAATGGCTTACCCAATTTCTAATATTAAAATCTCTCCATTGAAACACCAAATGTGATCTTTGTTGTTCTGAATGTTTCCTAATTGATACAGTCATACTACTAAGTAAAAAAAAAAAAAAAAAAAAAAACACCTAATCACTTGGGTCCTAGTAACTGTAAAAAGAAATATGAAATAATAAGAAAAAGGTAACAAAAATCTATCATGACCTTCTGACTTTTTACAGAAACAAGCACTTGTTTTTGTTATGCATATAATAACTAATGACTTCTACTTTGTCTTCCTCTCTTTGGTGGTTATTTAATTAACAATTTAAGTCATAGGTCACCAGGCCACAGAAAGTCATATCTGGTCCTAATGGAGAGGAATGTGCATTACCGGTCCTGATCCTGAGCTGGTTACAATGATTGATGGGATTTTGAGTCTCTCTTCTTATTTGTATGAGCATATTAAATATGGGTAGAAGGACGAAGTTGAACACTAAAGAGAAAAAGGGGTAGACCACAAGTGTTCAGATTCATCGCTTGCCCTTCCCCTTCTCTGCTGACTGCTATTCCCAGGCTCTCAGCTGGTGTCTGCGGCTAGCTGTGACTTCACCCTTTTATCTCAGGCACTTCTCTGGCAGTGACTGCAGCTTCTCAGTGGCCCCAGCTCCTACCACACAGGTCAGTAGAGGCCCCAGCTCTGGGACTTGGTGACCTGGCCTTCTAATTTAGGCTTTTCAGGCTTCTAACTATGTTTTTTCCATTGCTACTAGTCTCTGTCACTTTTGCAGTTAGGTGTTCACTTCCTCCATCACCTGGTAACCATTTTCTGCATTAAATTTTCTCCATTAAAAAGTAAAAAACAGGGACTGGAGTTGTGGCTCAGTGGTAGAGCACTCGCCTAGCACATGCGAGGCCCTGGGTTCGATCCTTAGAACCACATAAAAATAAATAAATAAAACAAAGATATTGTATCAACTACAACTAAAAAAAAAATTTAAAAAGTAAAAACCAAAAAATTTTAAATTTCCCAGGTATGATGGCATACACCTGTAATCCCAGGGGATCTGGAGGCTGAGGAAGAGGATCATAAGTTCAAAGCCAGCCTCAGCAAAATCGAGGTGCTAAGTATCTCAATGAGACTCTATCTCTAAATAAAATACAAAATAGGGCTGGGGATGTGGCTCAGTGGTCGAGTGCCCCTGAGTTCCACCCCTGGTAACCAACCCCCGCCCCCCCAAAAAAAAAGAAAAAGAAAAAAATTTTAATTTAAAACAAGAAAACATTTAATAAAGTTTTCTGTATTATAAATGCTACATATGATTGCTATTTTCCTCATTGTCTCTATTAAAACAGATTATAACTAATCCACTCTAGATACACCATTATACTAAGTCAATATTCTGCAACTCTTCCACATCTGGGAATTTTTATACAAATATACGTATACACCTAAAAATGAGGTTTGTATGAGGTTATTTGTGGCAGTATTGTTTGTAAAGAAAAAAAATGGGAAGCAAACCCAAGTCACTTGCTATAGGGAACTGGTTAAATAAATACTGATATACACATAGGGCCATAAAAAAGAATAAGGAAACTCCCTACATACTAATATATATGATTCAATAAGGAAAGCAGAGTACAGAACAGTATAAACAGTTGTGTAATTTTTGTGTAAGAAGGGGGAGAATAAGAATATGTTTGCATTTGCATAAAGAAATAACAAAAACACAAAGAAGAGACTAATAAACATATTTACAATAGGGGACAGAATAAGGGGGTAAGAGGCAGTGAGGGACAACAACAAGAATTCTCAATACCTATTCTTTCACATTTTTCTGGTTCAAAAACCACACAGACATACTCCCTAATAAGAAACTAATGAGCCAGGCCTATGGTGGTGCATACCTGTAAGCCCAGCCACTTGCAACACCAAGGCAGGATGGTCCCAAGTTCAAAGCCAGCCTGGATAACTTAGCAAGATCCTGTCTCAAAAATAAAAATAAAAAGAGCCAGATGTATAGCTCAGTAGTAGAGTACCCCTGGGTTCAATTCCCAGTAGAGAGAGAGAGGAAGAAAGAAAAGAGAAATAGTTTATTAAAATGTATAAAGAAGAAGAAGAAAACAACCTAGTCACTAAATGATAAAAACAACCAATATCAAAAAGCCTATATAAAACTGTTGGAAAATGAAAGGTGAAAGAGAAGGGAGGGAGAAAGGAAGAGCCAATATACAGAGGACGACAGCCCTCATTCCTGTAGCCCGTCAAGACTCCACAGCAGATACCTGAATTCCCCTCCTATACCCATTCAAGTTTTGATGGCCTTTGGTTAACTCAAGCCTGTTGAGGTTCTTGCCTGTCAAACTGATCCAAACTTTTATTCCTGAGGTGTCCAAACCTGCTTTCCTTTTTGTTAACTTTAACAACTGGGTGTAGTAGTATGAGAAAGAACCCTAAACTCCTTGCAAGTCCCACTTCATCATTTACCTTCATAAATCAGGGCCCGACACATCAAACAGTTCCTAGCTGTAAACTGAGTTTCTGACTGATCTCAATGCTTCATAGACTACAACAATAGTACAAAACAAAATCATTCAGTGATTCTATGGATTATGTAGATGGAACAATTATGACAAACAGAAATGACAAATACAGACACAGATTAAATATCAACTTTGTTGATTAGAAAGTGTTTACCCCAAAGCTTCTAGGTAAAGATGGCAGATTAAACATAATCCAATTTCACTCCTTCTGAAACTCCACTAAAATATAATAAAGGGATTATTAAAATCCCATAAGCCTGTAAATACAGATAGAAAATGAGACAATAGGAACAAATTTTGGAAGCTGAACTACAGAAAAAAGGCTTAGGATATAGTGATGAAAGCCAAGAATTAAACTGACATATGCCATAGAATCTTCCAAAGACTCAAGAACTATTAGAAGTGAGGTGAAGAAGGGTATCAAATAAGAACTGGTAGAATGAAAGTTTTAAATACATTCCCCACTCCTTGCATGTGGGCTGACTTGCTTCTAAACAACAGAATATGAAAAGATAAAATAGTAAGTAGAAAACCTTGCAGAGACCACCTTAAACAAGTGATCAAGATTAACAGCACGTTATAGCCATGTAGATATCAAGTTCCCTGCTATGATACAATAGAAAGGGAAGTTCACCTCTGTGGTATTCTCCCCCAAAACTTATATTCCCAATTTAATCAAAGAAAATTTAAATATCAAACAAACCTAAACTAGGAACATCCTTCAAAATACCTGACCAGAACTGTTCAAAACTGCAAGATCAGGAAAGACCAAAAAGCTATCACAGATTGGAGATAAGGAGACATGATAATTAAAGGCAATGTGAGATTCAAAACAAAAAAAGGATCAGTAGGAAAGTGGTGAGATCCAAATGAGGTCTGTGGTTTAGTTAATAGCAAGGTACTCATATTAATTCTTAGTTTTTATAAGTGTACCATCATTGTATGAGATATGCACATTAGGAGAGGCTTAATGAAGGGTATTAGGAACTCTCTTTCCATTTTTAAGACCTTTTTATAAATCTAAAAATGCAAATTTTAAAAATGCACATCTCTCATTCATAATAAAAGATGACTGCCCTGGCATGCTATGTGGTCTGTGGGTTGCACCTTTGATGCCAGAGATAGACTGTGCTTTGGGCCATGGAAAAATCTGAATAGTAGAAGTACTTTGGTAAGGGAAAAATATAAGTGAATTAGTTTGACAAATCCCTTCTCTCTGAGAGCAAAATAAAATAGACACTGGATATCAAATACTGAGAATATAAAATGTCCTTTTTTTGTTTTGTTTCTTTAGGTTTCAGGTGTTTCCAGTGTAGTCTCCAGTAATCCAGTAATAATCACTACTTAGTATACTATTCAACACTGTTATACAAGGCAGCTGGGAAACTTTGTAATATTAAACAATTCATATCACTCTTAAATCTTATGTGTGTATCTAGATGCAATATATGTAAAGCAAATTATTGGTATTTTGCACTGACCGATGAACATTGCTTCTAAAATTATGATTCTTTTACTTTTATATAATCTTTAGTATTATTTAATTAAATTTTAAATGATAAATTAAAATTTCCAGTTTTAAACATTTTATTTAAATTTTTATATTCCTTAATTATAATTTGTTCCTGCATTTTAACTTTAATAAATATTTAAAATGTTTTAAAAGAAAAATAAGTGAGGTTTAAAATGATCTAGGAAGGGTCTAATTTAGCCTTATTGTCAAAATGTATGTAAAGTCTCACTGTGATATTCTGCTAAAATTATGAAAAATTAATTTTTTTAATTTATTAGTTTTTAAAGCCTTTACTACTCATCTAAATATCATTGACCCAGACCTTTTAAATAAAAATTAAACTCAAATGTCTGATACTTTCAGCCATATAAAAACCACAGTTTGGCATAAAATTTTCAATTTTGTTGGGAAGGTCTATATGGCAAGACAGAAGAAAAGAGATTTTATTTAGTTGTTTGATCTATTGCTTTTTAAAATTTTTTTAGTTGGTAGTTGGACTCAATACCTTTATTTATTTATTTTTATGTGGTGCTGAGGATCTAATTCAGGGCCTCACATGTGCTAGGCAAACACTCTACCGATGAGCCACAACCCTAGCCCTGATCTATAGCTTTTAAATATTATATAGGTAGTGTGTCATTAGTTTAGATATGAGTTGCTTATGTGTTAAGCAATGCAGGAAGGTCTGGAGGGGACACAATTAGATTATGAGAGCTTAACCTCATCAGTGGATTAATCCATTTGATAGACTAATAATTTGAATAGATTACTGGGTGGGGTGTAGCTGGAGGAGGTGGGTCACTGAGGGTTAAATTTCTTTCCTGGATCCTCCTCTCTCTGCTTCCCAGCTTCCATGAGCTGGGCATCTTTCCTCTCCCACACCCTTCTACCTCACGTGAGGCCCAGAGTAATGGCGTGAGCCAACTACAAACTGAATTTCTTAAACCAGGAGTCAAAATAAACTTTTCCTCCTTTAAGTTGTTCTTGCCAGGTATTTTAGTCAGCAATGGGAAGCTGATTAGTACAGGTGTGGACCTCCATTTGCATTTTTCTTGTGCCACTTGAAACTGTATTGAAAGGCTATTTGAATCAACAAGTACAAAGTAAAATAAGCAATTTTTTAAAGACTTTTTTTAGTTGTTTATGGCAACAACACCTTTATTTTATTTATTTATGTGGTACTGAGGATTGAACCCAGTGTCCCACACATGTGAGACAAGCGTTCTACCACTGAGCCACAATCCCAGCCCATAAGCAATTTTTTTAATAAGCAATTCTTAACTTTAAAAAAATCTCAAAAATTAAAAAGATTATGATCATAATATATTACAATGGTCAGCTATGAAAACATTTGCATGGGACACTGTAAATACTGTATAGTTACTTAACCAAAAATTATGCTAAGAAGATAGAAGAAACAGAGACAATGACAGATAAAAGAAGAATCCTCAACTATAAGAAAGTTTGTCCTCTGTGAAGTCTAAAAATGTGGGTCTCTGGTCCCCACAATAGAAGGGTTCTAATGTAATACATCTGCCAAAAGAGAGATGGACAGACCCTCTATAATGCTAAGTCAGGACTCAGAATTGGCTGTTGCTGCTGAGGACTGAATCCCCAGCAATGGTCATAACCAGACCAGACTCAAGAAGGGAAGTGCATTTGCTGAAACCAGTGCTACAACCTTTGTCACTGACACATAGCTGCTTTGTTTACTGCCTACTAAGCAAGCACTGGGCTGCCTGGAAACAGTAGAGAATTAGCATCTACAGAGAGAGGCAACTTGAATGTCTTATTAGGAAGAGCCTCTTTGGCTGTGGGGAATTTCTGGTGAGCATTTCATGAAAGCAAGAGGGATTAGAAGAAAGGAGTCAAGGGAGGGAACTTTATAATGTTTAAATCTTTAACAATAAGAAACATTCATATATTGCTCCTATAACTAGAAATAAATTTTATAAAAACTACAAGTGAGGTGATATGTTAATTAGCTTTATTTAATCATTGCACAATGTCTACTTAAATCAAAATACTACATTTTATATGATAAATATATACAATTTTTGTTAATTATACCTTAATAAAGCTAGGGGGAAATAAAATTTTAATGATAGAACTTCCCGAGATTTGATTATCATACTTATCCTGCTGTCTATTTGATAAGCATGCCCATTTCTGTCATAGGGTTTTGCCACCCCTACTGAGATTAGGACTCAAGTTCAAACATAATCTTTCTCATTAGCTTCTCAGTCTAGAAATGGTAGCCAGTAAGAAAAAAAAAATAGCACTTTCTAAAGATTCACATACTTCTTTCTTTAATCTGATCCTTTTGCCAAAGGTAAACAGTCTTCTGGACCATATCAGAGGACATATGAGGGTTGTATAGGAAAATTGCATGATAGATCTAACCTAGCACTCCTATTCCCTAACATTTTCTTATTCTTTCCATTACATTAGGCCAAATTCTTTCTAGCCTTTTAGACATTAGCCAGCTCAGTATACTGTTAGAACTATCACTGGCTACCCAAGCAAGTTCATGGACTGCCAAACCTCTGACACATGTGATCTGGTCAATAAATTCAGCTTAAACTAAAATTATACTGCCATTTTCATAGTCAGGCATTCTCAAATAACCATTCCCCATAGTTTCATAACATAAATTAGAAAATTCTAATAATTTTGTGGATATAACAGATAACCTTCCCTATTTTGATCCTACATTTTGCCTTCCCAAATATGTTAAATATACATCCTAGCTACCAATAAGCAATAATGAGAAAAAGGTCATAAGTTATGGTTTAGGTCTTACATGTTCCCCAAAGCCCCAGATGCTAAAGGTTTGTTGCCAGCCTGTGGCACTATTGAGAAATGGTGGAATCTTTAGGAGATAGTACCTTGTGGAAGGAAGTTAGGTTATAGGGTCGGGGGTCAGGCCCTT